ATCGCTCTTCTCACACCGAGTTGCTTCGTCATGCCGGAATGTGACAACACAATATTAATCGCCGGAGACAAACTAGTCGTTGTTAAGTAGTGAAAAGAAAGCTGAACAGACTGAAACACATGGCATGACGAAGCAGTAAATATCAGGCGTTTAATATATTTAATGTGGACACGTGGAGGTTGAGCACGCGAAACAGCAGATTGAGTTTTTTGAGGGGGAAAACGTGTACGGCTGAGATTAGTTAGAGTCGACGCGTGGCACTGAGATAGTTGAAAAAATTACTTTGGTTTGGCGGAAGATATTCTTCGGGAGTGGGCCCACCGAATCGCTGGATCTCTGTACGTGGCGTTTCGTGTGGTGAAAAACTATGTTTTTTCTTTGGGCTTTGGTGGACAAGATTGTTGACTCATCAGATTTGGAGCGAAGATCGATGCGTACGTGTCTAACCAGCCGGGTTTGCGTATCGGACTTGGGGCCTCGTGTTTTATTACTTTTGTGATTTTATATAAAAATAATAAGATATGTTTTTTAATTAGTTTTGCGAAATATTTTTGAGGAAGCCATATCCAACTTCAGTTTTGTAATATCGAGATAAATAAGGATAAGAATTTTTTTTTATTAATTTTTTTTTTATAAGTAAAATAGGTGGGGGATTCGTGGGTATATTTTGTTTCGGGAAGTGGAACACTTGACCAAATACGATATTGTGTAATATCCAAACAAGAGTACGAGTATTGGAATTGGGTACTTTCCAACTATATTAAAGTATAATACCAAAATGAGGACAAATTTCAAGTATACTCAACTCGTTTATTAGCCTTACATGTTTTTTATTTTTTATTTTTAGTGACATCACTTTTATAATATTGATAAAAGAGATTTTTTTCATCATTACAATAATAACGCCAAACGCGGGCTCTAAGTGGATTCTTATCATTGATATGAAACAAAAGTTTACGAGGTATAATTTGTACACGGCTGCTCGGACTGCGGCATCTCAACAGAATTATTTTGCCCTGATTGAGTTTTTCTGGACCACAAAGGACTGGACTGATCTTGCTCAGAGGTTGTGTAAAAGAACTGACTTTTGGTTAAGCAGTCAAAAAGCTTGAAAAGAACTTCAATGTCATCACTTCTAGCAATAAGCTCCTTCCTTGCAAAAGACCACAGTACATTGGCAGGATCACATTAGGAAGCTTCACCATTATACGACTATTAAAACATTAGGAATCAAACATGTTTTAAAACTCGCTTTAGACTGTAAATTTTCTGATCAAATCCAATCAGGCATTTCATATCTAGAAACTATCAGTAATCTCTATCAGTTCATCACCCAATATCTAAACGCCATAGTTGAAACTGAGAATATCACAAAGGGCACATATAACATGTCCATTTTCTCTTCAAATTTAAACTGAGATTGCAAGTTGAGAAATTAGCAAAAATAAAGGAAAAATTCTAAGAATTTAGCAAATCTGGTAGACGGGTGTGGCGAGAACAGCAAAAATCTATAGGTAACAAGTATCCATCATTCCTAGCTAAAAAAAAAAAAAAAGAAAGAAAAAAAAATCAATTTCGTTGTCATGATATATACATCACTAAGAGAAGACTCGAGAATAAATTCAAGTGAGAACTGCATGCTACCATTCTCGTTTTGAAAAGGAAAGCTTCAAAATTCATGAATATCATAGTTGCAGTTTGGGAGAAGTACAAGTCAAAATGTTGGATTTTCTTCTCAGTGTAAGGTTCTTTTAGAACTTTTACTTAAAAGAGGAAATTAAGAAAGATTAAATGAGAGAGAGAGTGTGTGGAAGGGGGGGTGTTGGAGTTGCCAAAGATATAAATTTTAAAAATAAAAAAATGCATCAATATATCAATTACAAGTTTACAACTATTAACAAAATATTACATGAAGCAAGAATACAATAATTTTAAAAAAACTAGCTTCTAGAGCCACTAGAATTTAAGTAGAACAGATCATACGATATTAAGGAGAAAGTAGAATCTCGTTTAGATTTCAAATGAAACAAGAAAGTTAAGCCAAAATGGATTCATGAAATTTGTGTAGTTTTCAAGAAAAAAAAAAAAAAAAAAAAATCTACTGCTATTTGAACCATAAATAATAGCTACTCAAAAAAACTCCTTGTAAAGCTATATGTTACAGCTATAGAAGAAGCAAAGTTATCAACATGGGTTTTTATTTTATTATCCTTTTTTTTCCCCCTATTTTTAAAATTTATCTTATCAGCAGAGAGATACCTAGACACAACTAATCTAAATTAATAGCCCTAGATAATCATAATCCTGCCAATAGTAATCATAACATCACTTGTTAAACCAAGTATGTACTTTCTCTAAGTAATGAATGAATTTCAATAACCATGTAATTGAAATATAGACATACAGTGGTTTTGTCTAGCAGATGAACAGCACATTCTGCACCAAGAAGCCAAACAAATTGAATCAGATATTCACTAGCTACTTGTAGTCATGGTATTGAAACTGATGTGCACAAGAGACAGCTTAAATTAGTCTCAATCATTTTGCTACAAGAAAAATTGGTCCTTTGATGATATATTAATGCACCACATACCACATTGTAGGCAAACCCTAGACCATAAATGTTGACCTTAAGGATTTCATCCGAGGGCAATCTAGTAATCTTGATGATTACAAACTATTAATGGTGTTTGAGGACTAATGTTTACAATGGGTGTTATAGATGATTCATACTCAAAGAATGCCCTCAATGAAATAATAAAGATCATTCCAAGTATTCCATTATTCAAGACCACATCAATGGTAAGCAATGGATACAAAGAGACACGAAGTTGCAAGGAACCAAATGCAAGTCCACTCAAAGATAGCTTGGACTACAATGAACAAGCAAGCAACTCAAATGAAGAAAACAAGAATACCTTAAAGCCTAAATGACCATGGACAAAGCTTGAAGAAAGGGGTAGATAGGTTGGCGAGTGTTTAGGATTCAATGTTAAAATATTTACGAATCCATTTGAAGCTCATTTCTATTGGATCATGCATATCACTATATCATTCATGAGTTCTTATAACCATTAGCAATTGACTATGAACTTCATTACATATAAAATTCATTTATGAAGTCGTCACTAAGAATGAGTCAGTTCAAGCTTTCATAAACATTGAAAGAACTCAACACTTGAGCTAGAAATACTAGGACCATGTACTTTAATCATATGATTTATAGTGGTCTCCAGAAATTAGATTTTAAGGCTTTAAACTTATTATTCAATTCTAAGGCCTTTGTCACATGGAGTTGGTTTAAGACTCTAGAATCCAACACACTTGATGAACATCATTTTAAATGGTCCCTAGACCTTAGAAATAGGACTTGAACTTATCTAAACCATTCATCAATGTACTAGGTATAGAGAGTTGGCTATCTCATAAGAAGCAATTTTCAGCACAAAAATTTCCTGACCAGGTTGCACTAAAACTGCCATAACTATTTTTGTACTTGAAGTTTTTGAGTGAGGTAGGTGCCATTAGAAAGCTGACTTCGAGATGTTTAATTTGAACATGACCTAATTTGGACTTAAATTGACTGAGATATGGCCATTTGAATTCGGCACAGAGGGTCAGACGACTGCCAACCGGAGGTTCATGCGACATTAATTCCAAATGAAAACATTATGAAGCAGGTTTGACTTTTTAGCTGTTAAACCAAAGCAATTCTGAAAAGCAATCTACCAAATTAATTCCAAATGGGAATATATTAATGCAACATGACATCTGCCATACACATTGAAGGAGCACGTTCCCTGTTTAATCACTTCCTTGTGTTGCATGTGGGACGAGTTCGGTCAATATTGGAATTAGATATTATAATCTCATGACAAGTTATGTATTCATGTTGGATGATAGCAGAGTATTAGACATGAGTAGATAAATAATCGAAGGGTATGCACCAACATTAATCAACATTTTGAATCACAACAAGGTGGTTGATTATTGGACAGAAGTATTGCATGGAAAAGATACTCTAAAAGGATCTCGGAAGAAGGTTGGAACACTTGAAGACACACATCTGCATCCGATACACTTATCCGAGTGAAATAGATAGAATCACAATAAAAACACGAAAGACATTATGCCAGATGGAGTGTGTTATGAATTAGGAGGTAGAAATGCAAAGAATTCGAGGATGACATGCTCATGTTCTTACCAAGGAAAAAGGATCACAAGGTCAAGTCAAATTTAAAAGAGCATTTTGAGAGTTCTCACTCAACCTTCTTGCATGTATACATGACTCAACATGGCCTGCAATCATTGTGGCATTTACACACTTACTTAGGGAAAAAAGAAAAGAAGGTTTTTGTTTCATTTCTCCTTTATTAGTCTAAAGAAGAAAAAGGAAAAAGGAAAAAAGAAAAAAGAAGAAGGAAGTAACATGAAATACCTGCAACCTCCATGATAAAACAAAGGCTAATGTCCTGTTTAGATGCACATCATCTGTCAAAGTCATGAGAAATTCAAGTATGTCTCGTCAAACTCACATCCTCTGGTTTAGATAATTAGCCAACGAAACTAGGGAAGGAAAAGAAAGAAATTGATAATTTTAACCTCTTCATCTTGTTCATGAAAGATGGTGGAGAAAAAAAAAAACAGAAGATAAATGCTTTAGTAAAAAATTCAAAACAATAATCATTAATTCCCTAATCCTTTCCCACCATTTCCCCCCACTTTTTGGAGGAGAGCAAAAAGATTGTTCAAGGGGTTACAAGCCCCTCCTTCTCCCTCCTTCTTCACTTCACCTCCACATTTTTAAACTAAACATGAGATGATTCCATCCTTTTTCTTTTCACTTCCTCTCCTACTAACTTCCTCAATCCAAAGTCCAAACACAATTTAGGAGGTGGAAAGTCTGATTCACCTAACCACCAAAATAGTTATCCTCCAATAACGTATATTGTGAGAAGAACACTGTTTGAATGTTCAAAACTTTTTTATTTTTATTTTCGTTGTGTCTTTCTTGCAGGCTACTAATTTTATTTTCTATATTCTTGTGATATTGAAGGGTTTTCTAGGTGAAATGGTAAAAATTTGAACCGACGATGGGGATTTAAGTGTCAGAGCAATTATCTAATAATAAAGGCTAGGTTTAACTTTAATCGTCCCCTTTAATGGTCTTCAAAAAGTTTAAGGTAAGTTACGTTGTTAAGCCCATTTCAGCCAACTTTTACAAATTCTAAAATTGTATAATTAAAACTAACATGTTAACCAAATTATGATCTCAGTCCGTTTATTGATATTTGCAATTACATTTCATCTAGCATAGTACAGGCACCTAAACTATATGAGAGTCAATATATAGAGAGTAGAATCACTCAAAATTTCTAGAGGGCTGAACAGAGCAGTAAATGTGGAAATGTGTATTCATTTACTTAATTACAATATACAGGTAGAAAGGAATTTCCATAAGGGGAAGGTAAAACAATTAGATCAATCATGTAAAAATAATTTCACAATTTTTATTTTCTGTACAACATTATGGCGACAACACTAGCTGATAAAAATTTAACAGTTAGCCATGAGATTCTTACAAAGATTTCTCGGCACAAAACGACATGAAAATTACAGGTAAACAAGCTTCGTCGAATAAACAGATGGAATAAAATCACCTTAACCCAAAGTAAAAGCAGTTGGATAAGGCTTAGCCAATACTGATGACAAGAAGTAAGCACACATTATAGCAAAACACAGTTTCAAACCATAGAAACAATACATTGATGCACATTCAGAAAGAAAAAAGAAATTGCTACACGAGATAAATCATATGATTCAATTCCCATTTAAAACCTAAATAAAACTAACAGAAAACACAAACTCAAACAAAAGACCAAAAAAAGGTCCCCACGCTTTACCAAAATTGCAGAACAAGTAAGTTAAAAGGATCAAAACATCAAACTTTCGAAAAAAACAACAAAACCAACAATATAAAGCAACTAGAAAATGACAAAATAACATGCAAACATGTACCCAGTGCACAAAATCAAGCTCAAGAACCCTAAAATCTCTGAATCAATAATAGAAACTAGAGTTTATAATTCAAAATGAAAATAATTAAAAAAAGCCCCAAATCAAGCTAGGGCTTTTAGGAGTTGAGTTACTGTTCAGTCGCCAGAATCTGAACGGTCGAATCTCCGATCATTTCCTTTGTTTCTTCCTCAGACTCGGAAGCGTGAAAAGCCACTCATCCGCTGATATAATCTCCACATCAGCAAATGAGAATCACAACCCTGGCAAACGGGGACATAAACAGACTCCGCACGAAAATTTTTCTTCTCGCTTTTAGGAAGAAACTTAAGTTGAAAGGATAGATATATGTATATATATACATATGTCTGTATAGCCCTCCTTTGGCCTTTCTATGATAAGCTATTCTGGAAGGGATAAATGTCCTCTACATTTAGAAATTGCAGAAAGAAATCATTAGTGTGTGTATGTACATATATATGTATAAAGAAATAACATTGAGTATGGCACCTCTGGAGTGCTTCTAGGGTAGTGAATGGACCTGGAAATAATAAGAATCCTTCTTTTTCCATTAATGAGGATGGCTCTGTCGTCATAAGACACAGAGACGATAACCGAAGAACAAACCCATTATACCGACTTGGATTTTAGACAAAGATCTGAACAGAGACTGAAGAATAGAACCCTAAATCAGATGTTTGGTTGCTTTTCTGTTCTACAAAACCCTAAATCAGAGCTTAGTTATGGGAAATCATAGATGGGTTATGAAAAATCGGCTCTGTAGATGAGAGTAATTAGATAAAACATAGCATAAATCCAAAATTTTGAAATACACAATATTTTGAATTGGTGGGATTTGGGGAAATATGGTTTTGGTGGTTGTTTGGAAGGTATCGAATTTGGGTTGGGGGAAATTTGGTATGTAACGTTAATGAAAAGTTAACGAATAGTTAAATGGAGAGGATTTTAATCCAGAGGTGGAGGTGCTAGAGTGATGGGACTGGTCTGGAACTTTTGGTGGGAGAAACAGGGCAAGAGTGTGTGGTCAAGGGACATGATGGGCAATGGGTCAGCATTTGGCAGGTTAACTTTGATTCTTTTTTTTCCCTGGTGACTCAGTATGGGAAAAGTTTATCTGAAGTGACAATGTAAGGTGGGATAAATTTGAATTTTAAGAACTCAAAATTTTGTGCACCTGAGCTCTCTAGCTGGAAAATTCAGCTCCCTCATTTCGGTGAGATGCTTCTAGTTGATCTTTCAAGCTGGAGATGGATTTCTCCAGCTCCACCTCTTCAATCAAGTCAGCCTTTGATAAGTCCATTACAGAGGCTCAATTCCTTCAGGGAGGAACCTCATGAAATCATGGGGAAAAGAGCGGAGTTGGTCCAGTGGTAGTGGGGTTGAGTGGGTGGGTTGTTCTGGCATTTTGTGTAGGCTGAGGGTGACAGGAAGCTTTGGTGAGTTTTGAGGGGATAAGAATCAGGAGGAGGGGTGGTGAATTGATTGATTTGCAACGAAGGATGTGGTTCATGGTGTCGGATTGCAGGAAGGTTGAAAGAAGGGAAGCTGGAAGAGAGGAGAGGGAGGAGAAGACTCACGGTTTTTCTCTTATTCTTGTTGTTTAACCAAAAAAAATTCGAAGTTCACTGAAGCAGTGCTTTAATGACAGTAGAAGAAATGGTAAAATAGGAGCAGGATATTGAAGTTACTTATCTGAGATATATATATATAGATATCTTTGTCTCAACAGCAATGCAGCAAAATGAACAGCACAACAATTCCTAATTTAGCCTGGGGATTTCAAACAAAAAAAAAAATGACATCAGTTTTACTTGCCAATATAAAAATATATTGCAGCTTGTACATGTACATCTAACAATCTTTCCCCCTCTTCTGAGTCCTGACCTGTGCTGAAAGCAAGTTCATATCCTTCCACCCATTGAAGATGGATCCTGAAGGGTAAAATCAGATGCAAATAGAATATCCAGACGCAAGTTGTCAGAACGAGTCAGTGGAGAACCCTTCTAATGCTTGCAACTTACACGGCAAGCAATCCATCATATTAATTCGGACTTACTGATCCCTTTGGATTTTTCCTTAAACAGTCTCCACTACTGCAGATCAGAAAAATTGTAAGACAGGCACTAGAAGGGTAAGCTTAAACAGATTTTTCCACCGAATACAGAACTCCCATCTCAATGTGACCATCACTTCCATTCATTTCAAAACAATATAACATAATCACCAGTAGTTGTTGCAGGAACACATCCCATTTTTCATATGATGAAACCGGTTTGAATCCCTTACTATTATTTCTCTCCCTGTTGCCATCGATATGTATTTGATTGCAGTATGGCAATCTCCACAGACACGAAGATTCTTAAAAACCCTTATGGGTTTCGACTTGGATGTGCTTATAAGACCAAATGCTACCGCTATTTTCTCACTGTGTTGAAACAAATACTGTTCCTTCTGTTCCTCCTCCACATCATGAAGAACATAATCTGTGTTAGGGACATAACCCATCTCCTTTATTCTGAGAGCCAATTTATCTAGTTCTTCATATATCTCCTGTGCTTGGGGATGAGAGGTGTCCCCCACGTAAAACTTGTGTACCATGTTTTCTGTCTCTATCCAGCTACAGCCTGCTTCCTTAACCAAATTTCTCTCTTTCATGCCTTTTCTGATCGCCACTACATCTTCCCACTGACCAGTTGAAGCACACAGGTTTGATAATAAAATGTATGCAGCTGGATCATTTGGGTTTTGCTCAAGAATCATTTTTGCAGCATGTTTGCCAAGCTCTGTGTTACCATGAACTCGGCAAGCTCCAAGCAAGGTGCGCCAGACCAAAGCATCAGCCCTGAAAGGCATTGAGTCAATGAACTGAACGGCCTTTTCGAGGAAGCCACATCGTCCAAATAAATCAACCATGCATGCATAATGTTCCATCCTTGGGCTTATTCTATGTTCTTTGAACATTGAGTTAAAGAGTTTCCATCCCTCATTAATCATACCGACATGGCTACAAGCTGATAAAACAGCAATATATGTAATCTCATTCGGCTTTACACCTGCCTCAAGCATTTGGTAGAACATTTCCAAAGCTCTTCTTGCAAATCCATGTTTTGCAAACCCAGTGATTATTGAAGTCCACGATATTACATTCCGATCTTCCATTTCATTAAAAACTTGAAAAGCAGCTTCTATGTTCCCACATCTAGAGTACATAGAGACCAAAGCATTACAAACGGATTGGTTTGACTCGAACACGGCTTTAATTAAGCGAGCATGGACTTGCTCGCCCTTACTCAAGGCACCTATACTTGCAGCTCCACTCAATAGACTGGCGAATGTGAAAGCATCAAACATGATCCCAGCATCCTTTATTTGATGGAAAAGCTCAAAGGCTTCATCAGCATTCAAATTCTTGGCATAGCCATCAAAAATAGTGTTGTAGGAAACCAAATTTTTCTCAAATAGAACATCAAAAGCTCTCCGTGCATCTTCCATCCTTCCAGATCGAGCATACATGCTAGTAAGAGAATTTCCCACGCAATCAGCTGAAGCAAGACCCAGTTTAACTGCATGGGTATAAACTTGTTCACCCATACCTGAATCAGCAAGATTTCCACATGCCTTGAGAATGCTGGAAAATGTGAAATGATTGGGTAAAACTTGACCCTGAATCATCTTGCCGTATAGTTCAATAGCTTCCTTATCGTGACCTCCGCTTTGCACATACCCGGTGATAATTGCAGTCCAAGACATGACATTATGATCAGGCATCCGATCAAACACCTTCCTTGAATCATTCACAGATCCATCACCTACACACTTTGCATACATGTCCACCAAACTGCACCCAACACAAACATCCATAGCCAATCCAGACTTAATCACCTGAGAATGCAATTGCTGCCCAATTGATAACAATTCTAATTCTGCACAACTGGAAATGACACTGCTATAAGTAAAGCGGTCCGGTTTAAATCCACTCAATACCATATCCAGAAACAAGTCAATGGCATATCTTGCATGACCCAGTTGGGAATATCTAGTTAGCATCAAAGTCCACGTAACTTCATTCTTCTCAGGTATTTTATCAAACACCTTCTTTGCAGAGTTCAAGTCACTACAACCCTTTGCAAACATATCAATCAATGCACACCCCACACACACATCAGACTCAAAATACCCCGTTTTTATTACAGACCCAAAAATTACTTTCCCAATCGAAGCATTATTAACGTTCGAACAAGCTTGAATCACAGCCGAAAAACAAAATTGATTTGGGTTCTCTCCAAATTCAAGCATTTCAAAGAATGTAGATATTGCTTTTGAATTCATACCATTATGTGCAAAGCATGAGATCATTGCACTCCATGAAACTAAGTCTCTACTCTCACCCATTGTCACAAAGATAGAATTAGCAGTTACCCAATCCCCACATTTAGAATACAAGCTGATCAGTGAATTAAGCACAACCGAGTCAAGTTCGAGTCCTGACTCGGACAATTTGCTGTGAACAAGCTTTCCAAGTTCAAAGTTTCGTGTTCTGATGCAGGATTTGAGGAGGACCGAGTAGGTGATGAGGTCTGGGGCGAGTTCATGTTGGGTCATGAGATCAAGGGTGGAGATTGCTTGGTGGAGGTGGCCCACATTGGCCAGACGAATCAGACGGTTCTTGAGAGGTTCGAAGTTGGGGTTCTTCAAGGATTGGATGGATGAGAATTTTTGGCGGGAAGGGTTTATGGGTTTGCGCGATGGCGTGATCAATTTGGCGGAAGAGGGAAGAGAGAGACTGATCATCCTCTCAACGGCTATTTTGATGTGCAATCAAAATGTCTATTGAAGAATGAGGGGTTCTAATAAAATGAAATCTTTGACTATTTCTTTTTTTTTTTGGAAAAATGCACTTGCCAAACCATTACAACTCCACAATCGTGGTACGCAAGAAATTCATGTAGCCTTTCACCTCTTTTTAAGACTTGAATGCTCACTGCGAGGAAATGTTGCTGAGCTATAATGCATTTTGTTATTTTTTATTATTGTTATTTGAGAATATTAATTTATTATTATGATAATCTCACCATAATATTAAATTTCTAAGTTTTATTTGAGAATTTGACATTTTTTTTATATGCATAAAAAAAGAAATTATTATGATGGTTGAAAAATTATTTCACTTTCAAAAAATTTTGTGATCTAGTAGTATCTCTTGTACCTCAAAATGAATGATAAGAGTTTGAGATTTTAAAGAAGTAAAATGAGTATGTGAGTTTTTTGTCAATATATATATATATTTCACTATCTTAATTCAATTTCAAAATATATATATATATATATATATATATTTCACTATCTTAATTCAATTTTAAAATTAGTTTTGGAGGGGAATTTATTCTAAACGGTTTCATACTCATTGGCTGAGTGGGTGTAGGGAGGGACCACAACACAACCCGTTAGTTGGGGTCTTAGACAACTAATATACAAAGGGTATTCCCCGGGGATGAGCCATGTGCTCCTTTGTCAAAACAAAAGCGAGTGAAAAGAAAATGAGTCCAAAGAAAAATAAAAAATAAAAAGCAGTCCAAGTCCATATTGTCCAAAATATTGGCCCAATGTGAATACCATAAAACTCAAAGCCTAGTCCATAATCATGGGCGAGAATTCATCAACATGCTTCTAAAAATGTCTCTGTACTGGGTGGTTGTTTGGCTATGGCAATGGCTGTGGCGCTTGCAGTTGGGGTGCCGGCAGCGTTTGTGGAAATGAGAATAAGAGGTTCAAATGGGATGGTTCATAGAACGGGCTAGGAAGATTCCAATTCTTTGCGATTTCTCCAGCATACAGGCATGAGCACTTCTTGATGGAGAACAACTTATACCTCGCTGAATTACCGAATTAACAATTACACTGAAGGTTTTTGCTGGAGTTACACTCAAATTTCGGAAGACCCTGTGTGTGTTGACGACGGTGTGGTTGGATTTCTTAGAATATTCTATAATTTAATATTGGGCACATGCATGTATCGAACAATTACCGAAAACATTTGATGCAGTCCAACATTATTTTTATTTTTATTTTTAATTTTTTGTTTTTCCATTTCATATTATGCATATATAATTTTATTAATCTAAATTAATTAGTTTCATTTTTTCAATATTCAACTGAACTTGGGGAAGGGAATGTTTCTCTTGTGTGCACGCGTCAACGTTGATGCTATTTGTCCTCGACCATCTCATAATTTACTATCGAGCACATGAAGTCTCCTCGTCTCTCATGCACACGACAATTACCTAAAAAATTCGAAGGGGCCCTGCACATTTTTTTATTTCTTTTTCCATTTCATATTATTTTATTAATCTAATTTAATTAGTTTCATTATTTCCATATATTATCATTAGAAAAGATCTTTAACTGACGTTGGGGGAGGGGGCGTTTCTCCAACAACTCAATCCAATTTTGTTCGATGTGCTGTCGGGCCTCTTAAAGCGCACATGTAGTCCACTAATTTCATTTAACCCACATGCATCGGGCAACTATTGAAAAAATTCAATGAGTCCTTGTCCCGCATTACTAAATTACCAAAAAAAAATTAGTGCAGGTGACTTCAAAGGAATTCCAATTCCCAACCGTCAGCTTATTAGATGACATTTTTTCCCATTAGGCTATCTAGGTAGGGTCGGCTATATACGTCTCTCTGTTTTGAACTGCGCAGTGACTACAACTTGGCCCAGTTGGTTGCTAATGTCTTTATAAATCACTCCCAAAACAGCTTCTATAACCACCATCTTCATCGTAATCTAGCAGTCACCCTCCGCCATGTCCTTTGTGTGTGGTACGTTTACTTTTCTGTTGTGTTTCGTAATTATTATTTGGTTTGCTGCGTTTATCGTAACATGATTAAATATAAGATTGGAAAAACCAAAAAAATCTGTAAAAAAACAATCAACAGTGAAGGATATTAAGGAACAGTGGATCAAAAAATATAGACAAAGAAGTAGAGATTAAGTTCTAGAACAAGTGGGAGGTCAGGTTCTGTGTCTTCTTCTATGAAATCAAAAGAGGCAAAAAAAAAAAAAAAAAGGGGGCCTAATACTGTGGGTAACTTAATTGATACTGAGAAAAGAGATTGATTACAATGTGTGTAAGAGAGAAAATACTTTATATAACTAGAATGAGAGATAGAAGGAAAAAATAGGGAGACAATGTGTGTGAGAGAGAAAATTCTTTATATAACCACGATGAGGGAGAGAAGGAAAAAATAGGGAGAGGGAAAGAGAAGGGTGGTGAGGGTGTGATAAACTCACTAGGGTAATTTTAATATTTAGAAAGTATTTCACTAATAGATTTAACCTTGATTGAAGGCCGAGGTAATTGGAGTAATTTTGGATAAACCTCAAGGGAGGTTGACCAGTTCTTGGTACTAATTGAATTCAATCAATGGGATTAAATTTCTTAAGACTGGGTTAGGATAGAATAAAAAATAGGAGCAAGGGCTTAATCCGGACTTGCATCTTTTTTATCTCTCTCGCATTTTTATTTGTATAAGTAGTTCATATTGACGTTGAAATTTATGAAGAGTGACCCGTTACTTGTTATTCTGTACAAATGAATCTTGTCTAATTCACTAATTCGTGGGAAGATACTGAACTTTTGTATTTGGAAAATGTTTCAGGAACCTCTCGCCTATCGAAGTTCTGTTCTAAAACCTCGTCCGGGAAGGAAAAAGAAGCTGGAAGATGAGGGAACAATGGAAATGACTTAGAGACTGTGATACCCCCCGGATTTCCGAATGCGGGTTGGCCAGGCTCACGCCCGAATACCCGAGGATATCAAAACAAATTGATAATAAACGAACACAAAGTACAAAAAAAATAAAGAAGAATAAATAAAATGTTGACAAGAAACTAAAATGATAATCTAATAATAAACCTCAGAATATATTTCCATTAATTAATAAACTCTTCTGATACAACTGATCCTCCAAAATACAACTCGGGAATCCATACTGTGTGGACCCCTAGAAAATCCAAACTAAAGAAATGACAGCAATAACTGTCTAAATCAGGAAACTGAATCATAAAAGAACTCCTATGTAGCATCAGAAGAATGAAGTAGACTGATCCCTGCTCAGCACGAACAACCTCTATTCCTGACGAACACTTGAAAAATAATGGTGGGTCAGGCCCACAAACAAGTTCTACTCCACTACAGTCCAAGCAGAGATCCGATACACGTATACATCCTAGTCAATCCAACAGTAACTAATAGTCCATATATATATATATACACACACTAAAGGAACCTCACTAGACTATAGGGTTGTCTCAACCTGAATAGTAGGCAACATGCAAAACGCACATATAGTGGGCATGAATACCTAGACCTACCAGGGTACACAACTACACTATATCTAGCTACACATCCCTGACGATATACGCACCCTAACTACTGATCCTGAGACTCAAGCTCATATCATGGCACCATACTTATATATATATAATCTAATAACCATCCTATTCGGTATAAATTAATCCTCCATAAGTCATTCAACTTGTTCAGCTGACCTGACTTGAATATAAGTAGAATTTAACATTTTAGTTAATCCATTCCCTTATATAATAAATTAATCATCCATAAGTCATTCAACTTGTTCAGCTGACCTGACTTGAATATAAGTAGGACTTAATATTTTAGTTAATCCATTCCCTTATATAAAATAGGTAGGACTTAACTGATAAGTTAATCCGTCCCTAAAATGCCACCGTCTCATACCGGTGCATTAAACCACACAATCCAACAATTAATGTAACGATTAAGGAAATACATCAAACAATCCAGAAATAACTATGATAATATGATATCAAGTTATCACAAAATATGAATGACTTATTATTTATTTAAGCTTCCTATATCATATGTCCTACATAAACTGAATCTTATACATATGATGATATTTTATTATACCGTCAAATAAGCATTCTCCATATCCAATTCATCCTACACATTTAATCTCAATTGCTAAAACATATTAAAAGATTAAATTCATTCGTTTGTTTAAAACATTCAAATAGCAAGCATCATTATGATTGAGTCTATTTAAATTTATTCAAACCCAAACCTAGTTTCTATTTAATGTTCAGGAATCCTAGACATGTTTTTACGTTCCATCGTTCCACAGATATGAAAAATACATAATTTAACCATGTAAAAATTCACACCGGAAATCAAATCAAAATCATGCATTTATCAATTCATAACATAAGAACAGATATGAACCAAATTCATAAAACATATGTTCTAATCCAATTAAACATGCATAATTATTTAATTTTATGTGTTTAATAAATCTTGGAATTTCCTAGGCATGTACAGAAACACGAATCAAAGGGAAAGAGATAGAAGAAGAACTTACCTTAAACTTTTGAATCGAAAGTTAAATTTCTTCTTCCTTGATCTTCTCTCTATAATCTATGTATATCCTTATTAATTAAATAAAATATATACATTAGATTATTTATTAATACTAAAGTTACCATAATATTAAAAGGTAACTTAAAACATGTTACGTATATAATCTATCTATATCCTCATTAAATAAATAAAATATATACATCAGATTATTTATTAATACTAAAGTTAGCATAATATTAAAAGGTAACTTAAAACATGTTACGTATATAATCTATCTATATCCTCATTAAATAAATAAAATATATACATCAGATTATTTATTTATACTAAAGTTACCATAATATTAAAAAGTAACTTAAAACATGTTACGTATATAATCTATCTGTATCCTCATTAAATAAATAAAATATATACATTAGATTATTTATTTATACTAAAGTTACCATAATATTAAAAAGGTAACTTAAAACATGTTACGTATAAAATATATGTATATCCTTATTATATAAATATATAAAATATATACATCAGATTATTTATTAATACTAAAGTTACTATAATATTAATAAATTACTTTCCTTTTTATATATATGTATATACATATATATCTATATATATACATAT